CAGTCGGCCCCCCGCTGCCGCATCTCAGTGTGAGACCCAGCGAGCCTAGGGGCAGCTCTCACTTTGCCAAGCCTGTCTGCAGGCTGTCGCAGGGCAGCCCTGCGCATTTCAGAAGGCACTTCCGTCTCCAGCCCTTCGTGTATCTGTGCTTTCGTCTAAGGTACGTCAAAGTGTGGCAGTAGGGAACACTTTCTCTTCACAATATGCTCCTTTTTATGTTGCTAATAAGTAATTTCAAACACAGCATTAGATTTTGAAACCAGTGCTTTTTTTTTTTTTCTGCTGTGAAATTGAGGCTTATTCATGGGAAAAAATGATAAGACCAAGGGACAGTTCCAAGTTGAGGGGCAGGAGAGCATGTGGGGGTGTGTGTCTAGGGTAAGGATGGGAGTGGGAGGGCACAAAATGGTCTCAGATGCTGATACTGGGAAGGAGGAAAGAGAAAGAGAGAAAAAAAGAAAGCAAAAATAAAATGTTGTGCTGCCAGACAATAGTTTTGTGGCAAGGCAAACGTTTCCTCCTTCCAGAGCCACTTGCCATTCACGGGGGCCATCCTTGCTTCTGCCACAGAATGCTGTCATCAGAGTTGGGAGAGAAAACCCAGGTATCCTGGGCTGGAGTCTGAAATGCGTGGGAAGAGCCCTGTCCTTATGGGAGAAGGAGTGTTGCCATTCAACGCACGTCGCCGTGTGTGTTCGTGTAAATAGCACATGTGCCCCTAATTCATATGACTTCAACCTGCTAGGAGTGCCGAGTTGTTAGCTGAATGCTAAATTAGATGCAGGTTTCTCAGAGCCTCTTTCAGATGGGGTAAGCCCACTCTCAGGAACAGACAACACAATAGAAAATGTGAAGTTCAGTTCTGAGAGCCAACTTGGGCATCTCAGGGAAACGGCTCACGAGAAAGACTTTCTGCTCTTCGCAGCCAAACCCCAAATGACCGGGTAACCAAATGGGAACCGTCCTGGGCAGGACGTCTCAGTTCTCAGCCAGGGCTCTGGGGTGTGTGGGGGCTTTTTCAGTTGAAGGACTCAACGATAAGCTTGAAATTGAGTCAAAGGAATAGAATTCAAAAGAGTAGAATTAACCAAAATAGACAATACTGTTAAACTTTGACTTTTACCAATCCATCTCCAAACAGATTAGCTCGAACACCAAGATGAAAGTGTTAGAGCTATAGTTTGATGATAAAAAAGAGCCCGTGTGTGTAGAGCAGAGAGAGATTTAAATAACCGGCAAGCACGTTCTGCCCACCCCTCTCACCTTGCCCTAAATTTCCATCTCTTAAACCCTTGCCCCACAGCCTCAGTGGTGGGGAGGTTTGAGACTTTTTTTTCTGGGTCTCCAGCTTTTATTTATTTCTGTCACCAACCCAATGCCTCTTAAGCAACCTTCTTATGGTTCCAGGCCTGGTGTTTTTATTAGTTGTGAAAATCTAATGTGTGATAGGCCTTAATTAAATCTCCTCCTCCAGTTTTCCCTCTAAATTTTGTTGCTGCAAAGAAATTTTTCCAACTGCCAATTGAAACTTCTGGCCTCTTGCAGGGTGTGTGAAGGGCATGGTGGTGGAGTGGGCTGGAGAGCTCGTCAGTCAGGACAAGCCAGGTTTTGCTGCAAAAACAATCAACCCCCAAGTCTCAGTGGCTCAGAAGGAAAGGCTTACTTCTCACCTCATAGCTGTATCACAGGCCAGCCCCCGTTCTGCTCCACGTGAACTGTGCTCTGAGATCCTTGCCTGTGGAGTGTCTCTATCTGGAACTGGCTGGTGTGACAGAGGGAAAAGAGATATGGCCAACCACATGCTGGCTTTGAATGCTCCACCTGGAGCTGGCACATTTCACTGCTGCCTGCATTTCATTGATCAAAGTGGGTCACTTGGCCATTGCTGAGTTCTGTGGGAAGGAAGACCTAATTCTCCTGGCGGAGGAGGGAACTGTAGGGGCAGTCAGGATAGTCCACGGAGGCAGCCCACTGGAAAGGGGCTTTCTGTCCACTCTGTCTTGAAATTAATGGACAAGGCTTGCCTGTGTATACAAGCTTTCAGGAAAAGCCTAAAGCTGATTATTCCATTCCCTTGCAGGAGGCACCCTGTAAGCCTGGCATTACTGTTCCCCAAAGGATCACACAGAGCAGGGGTAATGTGTGGAGAACATTTTCCTTCAGTTCCACCCTTGCCTTTGAAGCCGAGCCACACATGAAAGTTCCAGCTCAGGCCTAGGCCTGCCCAGCCCGGGCCAAGCCACACTTTCCTCCTGGGCCCTGGAAAGCCTGCCTGCAAAGCCTGGGTGGCCCAGCCCTCTGGAGGCATCTCCCCCAGAAGACCAGAGGCCCCTCCATCCCATCTGGACCCCAGAGCCCAACTGTCTTGGCCAAGGCTACCCAGGGTGTCAGTTCAGTCAAACTCAAGAATATTCTTTTAATACTAAATAACCATGTAGGGCTGGCAGGGCTCCCTCCGCCTGACAGATGGCGAACACATGCCGTGGGCAGCCCCGCTCGGCACATCCATCTCTCTCTGCTGGCTGTCAGCACATCCTTTCAGCCAATGCCGCTTTCTCCCTTCAGCTCAGGATTGTAATGCAGAATCTCTTCTGAGAGCTGGGGGGAGTGGAGAGATTTTTCAAAGCAGGGGCAGGAAGTCCGGGTGCTGCTATCAGATGCTGTTAGATAGATGATCAGTTTTTCCCCGGCAGGATCTGGCTGCTCCTCTCCTGACTGGCCACCGTAGCAGCTCCTGTGTGGGCAGAGGGGCCTGGAAATCGCACCAGCAACTGCAAACCATTTCGGGTTTGTAAGATGGAACCCTTCCCATTATCACTAGGCTTTTCTTGTACTTTAGATTTCAAAATCAATCTTTTTTCACATCCCCTTAAGAAGCTTCGAGCATGTTGGAAAAGATAGCTTATAAAATTTCTCAATACTTGGAAAGAGAGAGGGGATTTCCGTGAGGATGTTCGGCTCGTGGAGACATGGGCACGCAGAGCAGTCGAGCAGCCAGCTCAGTGGCAGGCCAGGCATCTGGCTAATGTCCGAGTGTCGGAGCCACCCCAAGCTGCTCCTGCTCATTGTCATGCCCTGAAAGACCATCCCCACACCAACAACTTCAGATGTCTGTCTCCAGCCCAGACTTTTCGCCAGAGCTACAGCTCCACTCTTGTACGCCCGACTGCTTTCTGGATGTCTCCATTTGGATGTCTCACAGGCATCTCAAACTTCCTACATCCCAAACCAAACTCATGATTTTTATCTTGGTGCTTGTTTCTCTACCCATTTTCACAGTCTCAGTGAAAGTTGCCACCGTCTCCTCTGCTCGAGGCGGAAACCAGGGAGTCAGTCTTGGTTTCCTCCTTCTCTCTCTCCCGTCCACCCTCCCTTCACAGATCTGCTCCACCCACAATCCTTTCCAATCTGCCTCCAAGATATACCTCGAGTCTGTTCCCTTTTTCTACTGTCCCGGTTGCCAGGCTTATGCGAGCCTCGTCCCTTCACCCCGACTGTGACAACAGCCCCACTTCTGCTCTTGTCTCATCTCCACCCTGCCCTGACCCATTCTCCATGCACAGCCATTGGGATCTCCCAACATAAGCGAGGCCATCTCAAGACAAGGCTAAGAGCCTTCGATGACTAGAGAGCCAGATTCTTGTCTGCTGCGTGCGCGGGCTAGTCCTTGACCCTCATTCCAGCCCAGATTCGGTGCTGCCCTTTGCTACCTGCCCACAGCCCTGGCCTCTGTCAGTTCTTTGACCCTGCCTAGACTCCGTCTAGCCTCAGGACTCTGTGCATGCTTTCCCCCACTGCCTGGAATGTGCTTGCTAACTCTCCACTTGACCAACTCTTTTTGGTCACTTAGGTATCAGCTCAAAAGTTTGTAGCTTAAGGCAGATGTAGAGGTGAATCTGGAGGGGTGATTGGAGGCCTCATGCCAGGCAAGAGGTTTGGCAAGAACGATGTATGGAAAGGATTTGGCATCCCCTGCGCATTGGGTGCGGACTGGCTGAAGCTGTCCTATAAGGCGTTAGCAGGGCATGTAGAATGCAGAAGCGCTCAAAGCAAGTGGGCCAGGTAGAAAGGTGACACAACAAGCCAGGTGAGAATTTAAAAAGGGCCTGAACTGAGGAGGTGGCCTAAATTCAGAGAGCGACAGGGGACCAAGGGCAGGTGGGTGGGGGGATGGGGTCCACGTGTAATTGCTGATACTATCGTCTGGGGGAAAACTCTTGTATGGATTGCTTTTCTTTTCTGAACCCCTCTCTGGCATGGGAAGGCTCTCCTCCAGGCCTGGCATTTCCAGTTTAGATGCTGCTAAGGGATCATTTTATGTCCAAGGTTCCTGCTGGCTGCGCAGGCTTCCTTGCTTGGGATTTGGGGTAAATTACCATTGCTTAAGTTCAGCAACGCTGGTGTCTTCACATGTGTTTGAAGAAAAGGAATCAAGGGTGGAAAGTGGCCAAGGTCCTCCAGAGAAAGAGCAGCAAGATTCCCACGAATGTCCTTTGGGGCACCCCACAGAGGGGGCACTGGGCAACTGAGGGTGCCTGTGCTCCCAGGGGCACTCTGGCAGGAACATCCTGGGGCCATCTGTGAGACAACGCAGCCAAGTAAAAATCTTCCAGAAAATGGTGTGAATCACTGCTTACCAAAAATAGTAATGGTGCGGGAGAAACCCAAAGCAAGCACCAGTCCTCCATGAGCGTTCTCACACCGTGTATTTAAAGTCTGTCTTCATGTTGTTTATTGACACTGAGTTTTGCATTTAGTGATTTTCCTCATTGTAATGGTTTGTCTTCTCCAGTCAATGCTTTGCCTGCCTTTTTGTGTCCTGGGTTTGTCTACCAAAGGCATGTATAACCAGCTACTGCAGGTTAGTGCAGAGGCAAAGGTCTTATTTATTTTCTCCCTTAGCTTGAATCAACCTACTAAGGAGGAAGTCTCACCACTTTATAATTCGTCATTCACTATTGAACATGCAAAGCCATGTTTAGTGGGGAATGGAAAGAAAATGCTAATTTTGAGAAGTAGACCTGAGGCCTTTAGCAGGAAATAGAAATGTAGGGATGGACAAGGAGTCCCTGGCCTCTGTCTGGATCACAGTCCACTTAAATGCTTATAGAAATGCAGGGTTTGGGGCATTTTAACTTTTATGATGCTTGAGATATGAAGAAACTGCCATTATATACTTTGAAAAAAAACAGGCACAGTGGTACTCTGTTCCAAAGATACTTTTGTAGACAGTGAATGATTTATTATTCCATATGACATGCCCAGACCCTGAGTAAAGTTGCATTTGAGCAGATCACTTTATTTTATATAACACGTATACAAGCCGAGATTTGCCCCCAAGAGGATCAAAGGCAAGAAGCTGCGACTGATCCATTTGTGGTGTCACGCCGGCTCATCTTGTGGCTCATTCTGTTGCCATTTGGAGGTAATATGGGGGACAGAGTGTTTTGAATGAGATTTACTTTGTAGATTCCACCCCCCCCCCCCAAATGTTTATCCTTGTATGAAGGTCAGAAAGCATCCATGAGTTTTTTCAGGGGCTTAAAATATTTTTTCCATGTTTTTCCTTTATCTCTATTTTAATAGGTAATGTGCATAGCACTTAAGAAAGCACAGACAATATTTAAGTGTATTCACTGAGCAGCAAGTTAACCTCCCACCCCTGTCCCCCAACCAACCTCTGTTATCAGCTGCGTTTCTCCTACCAGAAATGACCTGCACACACACAAACATGCGTACACACGGGTGTGAATGTGTGTGTCTACATACACGCTAAAGGACGTGACTGAAACATGCTCCATCTACTGTTCTGAGTCTTACATTATTTACCTGAACATATTTCTTTGGGATTGAGTTGAACTACTAAATAAATTAGCCCAACTAGGAAACTCCCTTCTGTGAACTACAGAGTAGCAGCCAGCAGGAGCCCGGTTTGCTTTGCTTGGGACACACTTCGATTGCTGAAGGAAAAACTCTTGCGCACTTACTCCCCCAGTTTCTTGTAGCTTTCTTCTTCAGCTCCCTTCTGGTATTAACTTCCATTTCCTTATGTTTGTTCAATGTCTTTCATCTTTCCTTTTTTTCGCTTCCATGACTCTGTGCTTCTCTCTCTTTTCTCTTGCATACACTCCCTCTCTGTTTCGCCTTGGCCCCCTAAGAGCCGTTCTTGCTTCCTCTGACGTGTTCTCATTTCTTTCTGGCGACCTTTCTTCTCCCTAAAGAATTAGTCTGGCTTTGCATGAGGCAGCCCCTTCATGTCAGTGATTGACACAACATGTTCTTTTTGGCAATTTAAGGTTTTCCTTTTTGGTAAAATATATTAGTTCAAGAGGGTTCTGCTTGGCACTGGTGTTATTTCTGGTCTGCAGGGAAGTGTTGCTCATCCTTCCAGCTTTCCAGCTGGGTGGAACAGAAAGAGGTTGAAGTGACTTGTCCAGCATGTCAGGAAGGAAGTCAGCAATTAGGCGAAATCAGGATTCGTGGTCATCCTGTCCCCCTTATGCCAACAACAAGCAGTTGTCTATGAGAGACAGAGAGACAGAGAGAAGGGAGAAGCGAATAGTCATAGGAGCAAAAAGAAGGGGAGATGAGAAACACTGAAAACACGTGAGAAAATGGAAGTTCATAATGGAAGGGAGCTTCTGCAGGCAGGCCCAGCAGCCAGAAGGAGGTTGCTGCAGATGCAGAGGACTCTGTGTGCCTGTAATCCTTGAGGACGAAGGATTTCCTCTCCCTCTGTCCTTGCACAGACCCTGCATTCACACATCAGTTACAAGTGCCGCCTTCGTGGGCCCAGGGGCCAAGAGCGTTGCGGACCAGAGGAGAAGGGGCTTGTTGGTGGAAAGGGGCCGGATAGGAGAAGCAGGACCTGGGGCAGGAGAGAAGTCTGAGATGGTGAGTCCTTAATATGGGCAACAGGGCACTGCATTTGCTACTCCAACCAGGACCTGGTCCACAAGGCAAGAGGTGCTGGGTGGATGGACACTTCTTCCTGCCCTCAGGCTGTAGCCAGGAGACAGACCAAGGGCTTCCCCAGCCATGGTCTGGGCATGACGGAGCATGTCCTTCAGGCTTTGCCCTCAGGGCTCCTCCTCAGCAAAGCCTTCCCACCCTCCCTCTCCTCACGCCAGATCCTGGGAGCACCTGTCACTCGCTCACGTGCTGTTTTCCTGGCTGCTTTATGTTATTTTATTGTTTTATTTGTAGTACTTTCTATCTTCCTCCATTAGAACATCAACTCTACCAGGGCAGAGTGTTGAGTCTGTTTTTCAAGTTTTTCTTCCCATTTTGCTCACTGCAGGGTCCCCAGTGCTCAGGACAGAGCCCGGCACACAGTAAGTGCTCATTCAGCATTTGTTGAATGAATGAGTGAGTGAATGAATGAATGAATGAACAGACAGTTCATGCGAGGACACTTGTGATATAACCAAGACAGGGAGGGCCTGGATGCTTCCTTAGCAAAGTGATGCCAGGCTGCTTATTCTATGAGAAATGCAGCCAACATCACACTGACTGAAGGAACGGCTCTCCGCAGGTAAGAAAGGAGCATCTTAGGACTGAAATCCCTTATTGCTGATGCATGCTGGGTTTGCGTTTGGATGTTTTCAGTGCAGCTGACTGGAAGCTGCTGGCCATGCCCCTGCCTCCCCGCCCCCCCCCACCCTCCTAGAGGCCACAGCAGAGGAGTCTCAGCCTGGCCTTCCTCATCTGAAGGGAGGGGTGGCTCTTCTCAGGGAAGAGGAGAGAATGGGCAGGGGGTGGGGACAGCTCAGGAGCTCTGCCTTCCTCCCAGGAGTGAGGCCTGAGAAGGACCCCCACCCATTACACTGTCAACGAAAATAATCCATAACCAATCTATAAATGAAAATGTGGGTGAGTTTATTCTGAGCTTAAATCTTAGGATTATAACCCGGGAGAGTCTTTCCACAAAGGAACAGAGCACTCCAAAGAAGTGGGGGTACACAGGGTGGTTATATACCCTCAAAGAGGGTGTTTCACATATGATTGAAATGTCCCTCCCATAATAGTCACAAGATTGCCCTGTCTGCACAGCGCTTGATGGACACAGCAGGTAGTGGGTCTGCTATCTTCCTGGGCGTAGCAGGAGGCAAGTCTATTGTCTCGAGCTGGGCGGTCACAGGTGAGCAGAGCAATCATTTTCTAGCCTAAGGAAAGATGCTTAATCCTTAAGGAGATGCCAATGTTGGGAGGGGGAGGGAAGTTGCACCTTTATCTCAAGGGCCTTTTGCTCTTGCCACAGGGAATCTCTAAAGCAGATATACGATGCATGCTCAATGGAAGCGGATGCTGTGGGTGTGGTGGGTGTTGTCAAATAAAAATGGCAAGTAATAGGATATATTGGAAAATATGAGGAAGCCATTTGGTATAAATCTAATTCAGCCTGAAGTTGTTTTTCCAAAAGGGCCTGACCATGGCTGTTGGGCGTGCATTGTATATCTGCTTTAGATATTTCCAATGCAAGAACAAAGGCCCTTGAGATAAAGGTGCAACTTCCCTCCCCCTCCCAACATTGGCATCTCCTTAAGGATTAAGCATCTTTCCTTAGGCTAGAAACTGATTGCTGCGCCCAGCTCGAGACAATAGACTTGCCTCCTGCTACGCCCACCAAGATAGCCAACCCACTACCTGCTGTGTCCATCAAGTGCTGTGCAGACAGGGCAATCTTGTGACTATTGTGGGAGGGACATTTCAATCATATGTGAAACACCCTGTTTGGGGGTATATAACCACTCTGTGCACCCCACTTCTTCGGTGCCCTTTCTTCCGTTGGGAAGAAAGGCCCCGGGCCATGGTCCTCAGATTTCAGCTCAGAATAAACTTACCCAAATTTTCATTTATAGATTGGTTATGGATTATTTTCGTTGACACTGTGAAGCAGATTGTATTTTCTGATCCATGTGCCCTTCCGCATGCTCTTCTGTCACTGGCCATGGAGAGCTGGAGTCTAACTCCCAGCCCTTGAATCTAGACAGGCTCTTGACTTGATTGTAACTAAAAGGATGCAGTGGAAGTAACACTGAGTGAATTGCAAAGCTAGCTTAGAAATGGCCATGCAGCTGCCCTCTGGTTCTTCTGGGATCCTCACTCTGGGGAAGCCAGCCAACCAAGGAAGGAGTACAGTTACCCCGAAATGTCCTTGAAAGAATGACCATGTGATTCTTGAATCAACAGTCCCAGGAGACCCAGTCTTCCAGCCACCCCAACCAAGGTGCCAGACATGTGAGTGAAGCTGTCCTGGATGTTCCAGACCAGCCTATTTGCCAGCTGAGTACCACTGAGTGACCTCCGCCAATGCCATGAGGAGCAGAAGAATCATGCAGCTGAGCTCTGCTTGCATTCCTGGCTGTGAAACATGATAAAATTGTTGTCCTTTTAGGCCACTAGGTTTGGAGGAGGTTTTTCATGCAGTAATCATAACAGGAATACTCTACTCGAAAACCCCAAGGCTGGTTGAACCCAATCATCTTCCTTCTGTGTTCCTATTCTGGAGTAGCTGGAGAAAATCACAAAGTAGGGATGACTGGCTTTGTTTTAAAATTCAAACAGACGCCATGCCTAATCACCCTGCTATGCTTGTCTGGTGAGCTTGCTGCTTCCAGATTCATCTATTTCATACATTTCCTCTTGCCTCAAATCCAGGCAGCTGGATATATGAGTCTGTAGTTCAGGGGAAAGGTTGAGGATAAAGATAAAATTTTGAGAGTCACCAGAGACTAACTGACATTTGAAGCTATGAATCTGGATGATATCACTAGGCTGGAGTGTGAATGGGGAAGAGAAGGGAGTCAAGGACCAGTCCTCCAGCTCTCCAAGGTTTAGGGATCCAGAAGAGGAAGCCCACAACGTGGATCGAGAAAGATGGCCATGGGGTTGGAGTGAAACCTGGGAAGGATAGTATTCCAAAGACCAAGAGATAAGAGAGATTCAGAGGCAAGTCCTTGAGTAGGTGAAAGGAGATAAGGGAAAGAATGGACAGGCGGGATTGGTCTCTGACACCTGGAGCTTCCTCCACGGCAATAGACAGTGACAGGGAGAAGGTGTGTGCACACGCTCCTGGATTCTAGGTTAGATGGCAGTGGGGTGAGGGCACTCCCCATTAATGCTGTTGACTTTCTCTGCGAAAGTGTGCATGTCTAATAGGCATTTCAGCCTCAATATGTCTAAAACTCAACTCCTTCCTCGCCTCCAATCCTTCTTGCCCCTGGGACTTCCCCAGCTCGGTTAATGGTGTCACCATCCACCCAGCTGCTTTGACTAGAAGCACGTGGTTCCTCACTGTCTCTCACACCCCATATCCAATCCAACAGTAAGTCCTTCTGGATTTACCCCAAAAGGTGCCTCACATCTGAGCCCTTCCCACTGTTCCTGTCACCTTGTTCCAGTACCTGATTACTGCTCTTCTCAATCTCCTGCCCTGTTTCCCCTAACCCATGATCTACAGTGCTCTAAAAGGAGAGAAATTTAAAAACCAAAAATCCAATTTAACAAACTCTCCAGTGGTTTCCATCATACTTAAAATAAGATTCCAACTCCACAGGCACCAGTGGGCATTGATTTTGGGTTTAGTAAACATTGGATTTGGTAAATAGATGACTCAGCTAGAGAAAAAGGAAGCTGAGACCCTGACGATTGCCTCCTCAAAATAGACAGGTCCTAAAACCCAGGTTACCATTGGAATTATTTTTGTAGTTGTGGCTTAGTTTAGGGCTATTCCAGCCCATGAATGAGGTCTTGTTAGACAGTGGGACAGACTCTTGTCTAAACAGTCCTGTGAGAAAATAGTCCTGCGGCCTGGTAAGTCTGCTACCTGCCCTCTCCCATCATCAGGCCTGTGCTCACCAGCTGGGGCCACTAAGTCCTTTGCAGGATAAACTACATTTAAATTTCACAATTTAGGCTCCCCACTAGCCCCCCACTGATACCACCCTGGATGGCTTGCCTTGTTACTGTCCCCTGCGTGGCTGCCACTGACCATGAGGAACATGGCCTCGTTATGGCTGAGCTATGGTGAAAGCCCTGACTCTCCCCTGGGATCCTGCCACCACCTCAGTGAGGAGGGGGAGAGCTGCCTTGTTATTGCAGGTGGGGGTGGAAGTCCGGGTGCCCCGCACGGTCTCCACTGACACAGGAGGGAGGTGTGGGGGTATAGGAAGAGAGGCTTGTCACTGCCCAGTGGGTTAAAAGTCTTTGCACCTGATTCAGCCTTCTCTGACAGCACCCGGGCGACAGGGTTGGGGCCTTGTTACACTTTGGTGAGGGTGGAAGTCTAGGCCATTGAACCTTTGCTGGCAGAGGCGTTTGGGGGCTCAGTTTCTTCTGTGGTGTCTGGCTGGAGTAGAGTGTTATTGTCTAACAGCTCCCTGTCTTGATGGGCTGTCCCTGTCCTGGCCCTTTGACTAGGGAGAGAGGCTTTTCTTGCAGGTTATTTCTGTCTGTGCCCATTGGTATTTCTGGATTGACGAAACACGCAGATGTCCACTACAGAGTTAGAAGCTTGCTCGTGATGGAGCTGGGGCCCAGATGCTGGAACTCGCTTTCAACATGGTTCTAATCCTCACCTAAAGGTGTTGAAAAAGAAGTATATTAGAGGCCCCCAAAGACACTTAAGAGCAGAAGACTGCCCTCGTTACCAGGTGTATTCAGAAAGGTTTCATGAACTCTAGTCTTCAGGGTGTCTACACAACAGGGCTCCTGGCAGTGATCATGGCCCACACAGCAGGATTCTGACCACAGATTAATTTTGAGAAGAGCAAGACTATAAAAGGAAACCTCCAAGAACCTTCCAGGGGTGCCCTAGAGTAAGTTGTGATGCTGGACAAGCAATGCTCAAAAGAAGACGGCACTGAGCTTAGCTGCCGTTCTAAAATTTTAAAAACATTTCTGAAAAAAAAAAAAACCCAAACAAAACCGGTTGTATACTGAGGCAGTTGCCCCAGTTCCACCAGCCATGTTTTGCCTCAGAACACTCCAGCAACACTCTTGTCACCCCTAAGCCCTTTATCCTCAGGAGAGGGCTATTCCTTCAGCAGAGCAGCCACCCCTCACAGACATGGCTGTGGTCCCACATTAACGCTCCAAGTTGACACTTTGTTGAGTTGTCAGCTGGCAGTCAAGCTGCTGAATCCTCCACTTGGGGGTCCTCAGCGTTTCTTTTTCTAGAGTCCGACTTTTGGGTGGTGTGGACTGTGCTTCACACAATCAGGTAAACCCTTTTAGCTTTAACTTTTAAAATCAGGTAAGTGGCAGTCCTAGAGTTGAGAAATTGACTGTGAATGTAATACGTTTCCCCCTCTCTACTTTGGGAATGAATTCTGGGAGGCTGGCTATTTAAAGATAGACTGTTGGGGTCTTTGGAACTGTCAATAGGAAGCTGTCATTTAAAGATAATCTCTTCTGATTGGACTTGGAAGGTTTTAGTGGAACTTAAATTTCACTAAGGCTATTTGTCCAGTTGTGTCTGAAACCTACTACGCAAATCCCAGGTAGCAGGCGTGGCAATTCCAGGAAGATGATCCAAGTGCACACTCTATGGAAGTCCCAGTAGCGATGTTCTCAGGGAGACTTGGTCTAGCTGAGCAGATAGGACCTCAAGGTATGAAAAGCTGAATGATGATAAAGGATTTAAATAGTTTGAAACCAATGGGTGCCACGTGATTGACTGGTTGATGACTTGTACATGTTACACTTTGCAGGAAGGAGAGAACGCTTTCCAGTCTGGAGAAGCTGGACTTTGAGCTGGTGCAGGGAGGAAACGAGGGTGGGATTTGGAAACCTGGAGGGCCAGAGGAGGCAGCCCGGATATGCGGGAGGCATATTTCCAGCAGAGGTAAAAGCGTGGATGTTGGAACCTGCCCGGGGCCCTCTCAGGCAGTGAGAAGACCAATCTGACCAGGGCAGTGGGTCAGGTCAACTGAGCCAAGGAGAGAAGTGGGGGCTGGGTTGTGGAGAGCTTTGAAAATTGGTTGGCTTTAATAATCAGTTGATACTTATTGATCACTTACTGGGAGCCATGCAATGTTCTAAGCCTTTCACATGTGTTTTAATTCTCATATTGTTGTTGTTATTGTCAACACCTTTCTGTAGCTGAGGAAACTGAGAAGCAGGATGCTTAAGTGACTTGCTCAGTCAGAGTAAGAGCGAGGAGCAGGGTGTGAACCCAGGCCAGCTCTGCTCTACTGGCTCTGGTTAGGGTTAAGCAGTTTAACTGGCCCTGTTGACAAATCTGGCACATGGCTTCTCAGCGAGGGCCAGGTTAGTATTGGCTTACGGTGAATATGTACCTCGGAGTGCTATTGGATGCCCAGACTTTTCCTGCGACGGCACTTGCATCTCGTCCTGGGGGATCCTGGAAAGGCATTTACCAAGTGTCCCAGTCATCTAAGTCCAGGCACAGCGGGAAGAGTGAGATGCGTTAACTCCCCCTAAGTGATTTTGGAGGTGAAGGGCTCTGATCTAGTTGTGTGGAATCTCACACTGAGCCCAAACAAGCCTGTCTGTGTCCCACCAGTGGGGTTGCGGCATCAACTAGGTGAATCACATTCATTTGTTCTGTCATTTGTTCACTCAGCGAGCATTAGTTGAGTGCCGTACACGTGTCAGGAGCTGAGCAGGATGTGAGGAATACAGGCAAACTACCCTCAGGTAGATTAACTTTAATTAATGAGATGATTTCAGATGGCTGTGTGATGTCAGTGGAACAGAGTGATGTCATAAGGAGTCAAATAGGTGGTGGGGAGAGGCCTGAGCTCATGACATGCAGGATGGACCTGAAGGATTCAAGGGAGATGGCAAGGGGAAGAACAGGGCAGACAGTCTCAGCAGAAGCAACAGGAAGAGCAAAGCCCCTGTGGGGAGAATGAGCCTGATGAGTTGGGGAAAAAAAGGCCAGGGTGGTGGAGAAGACAAGTGGGGAAGAGCAACAGGACATGGAAGCTCTGAGGGGGTGTGGTCAGCCAGGGCCTGGTAGAGTTTGTGGTAAGGAGTGTGGACTTTATCCCATACGTGAGGGGAAGTCACTGAGATTTTCAATCCCAGGAACAAGAAGACTCACTTAATTAGCATGTGTCTAGAGGGGTTTAAACAAATTTTGTCCAATTGCCCTCCTGGTGCAAGTCCCTGGTGACACATATCTGTTGTTACAGGCAGTGGTTGGGTAGGAGGTGGGGGCACTTCCATGAAGAGCCCTCTAAGGCAGGACAGAGAGTAGGGAGCCCTGACTGAGAAGACCAGAGAAACCAGGATTCTGAGGGAGCAGCTCTTGGAAATAGCAGATGAGGCCTCTTGTAGTTTTTTGACACACTTCACATGGGGAGGCGGGATCCATGTCCCCATCTCTTGAATCTGGGCACGTCTGTGACTGGATAGAGTGTAGTAGAGTGACGCTACGAGACTTCTGAGGCTGGGTCATAAAAATCAATGCAGCTGGAACATGCACTCTCGGAGCCCTGAGCTGTCATGCAGGAGTCAGGATTTCCTGAGTCAGCCATGCTGGGGAGGCCACATGGGCTAGCAACAGTCCCAAGCTGAGCCTTGTGTTTCAACTATTTCTGCCAAGGTGCAGGAGAGTGAAGCCATCCGCTAGTTGAGTACCACTGAGTAACTTTCATGGCTGTCTCACAAGACAGAAGAATCGTTCTGCTGAGCCCTACCCAAATTCCTGCCAATAAAACCTTACCGGTAAAATCATGAGATACAACAAAATAACCACTTGTTTAAAGCCACTAAATTTGGGGGTAGTTTATTAAGGAGCAATAGTAACTGGAATGAGGTCCTGTTGCTACTGGCCCTGCCACTCTTCTTCACCCCAGCCTGAGGGAGGAGATCTCCTTGAGGAAGCCTGGAGAATATGATCCTTTGTTACATTCAACGCCAAGGAGATAGACTCTCCCACCCGTTACTTGGAAACAGAGTGTTGTGGAGGCGGGGATTGGCTAGCCAACTCAGCTGCCAGATTTACCTGCAAGTTGAGATCCTCAGATAAATTGCCATTTTAGGTCCCTTACTATAAACCGGCATTCCATCCAGAAGACCAGCTTCTTCAACCATGGCTGACATGCGGGTTATGGCCAGTGCCCAGAGGAGGGCAGTGGTGTGCCCCATGGCCAGCAGCTAGCAGGGAGGGCCATCATACACGTTTCTTGGGGTCGTTTCTCAGGGACTTTCCACGAAAACATAGAGTGTTTCAAAGACCCTCAGCTACCTTTGGAGGCAAATGCCTTAGGCCACAAATCACCAACTGCAGAATGCTCACTCCAGAGGTGCTGCAAGACCCTAGTTGGTTCCGGCTTCTGTGTCATCTTGTTTTTGAGAACTGATTCCATTCTGAGACAAAACACATGAGTCTTGTTTCCAAATAAAAGAAATCAAAATTCATAGCCTTTCCTCATAATGAAAGTTTGAGAAAAGGAAAAGCTGCGTTGGTCCCAGGCAGGGTTGGGTGATCTCTGGTTTGGCATCTTTTCTGTAAGTCACAAAACGAATTTATAAATGAGTGCTTAAGAAAACCCCAAAACAAAAGAGAAAAACTTCTTTGGCAAAACGAGAGTGGGAGTGGAGCTGTCTCGCTCTGGGGCAGCCTCTTAGAGGATCCCATGCGCGATTCCCAGCGGCAATGGGAACTGAGTTTCCTTCATTTCATCTATGTTTTATAATTGGCTCTTAAATTGGCCATGGGATCTTATCCTCATTTCCAAAGATGAGGGGCCCTGCCCTCGCCCAAAGGCAGGAAGGCGAGCCAGAAGTCAGAGCTGAATGGAGTTCCCTGTGGCTCTTCCTCCTGGCAAGTGGTTAAGAACCATGGGAGACCCTTCGGCCCTCCTCAAACCCCGAGTTCCACAGTCACTGCAGGTGACTGCAGCGTCTCTCAGAGAAGAACAGGAAGTACAAACAGGTAGAGACTGACAATGGGGATTCATTGACTACCTTTGGTCTTTTTCCTTTTAATCTCTCTTATACTTTATTAGTTATTGTTAAATACTTTTGGGAGCATATTTGAGTTTGGCTATTAAACTAGCTTTTCAAGAATATTCATATATAAAGTGTGTGCATGTATTACTATTATTTTTATCTCAATTTTCTGCTGCTTGCTAATTCCAAGTTGGAATTCTTTATTTGGTAATTAGCAAAGTGTCGATACTAAGAGGATTTTATGGAATTAAAAAAAATTGAAACCAATAACATGGATTTCCCAATTCTTGAGGCCATACTTATCACATCTGCTTAGGAGATTACACATTGTTATCGATACGTGGATGTAAATAGTTTTGTTATAGGCAGAACATCTTAGTTAAAATACGAAAATATTTCTGGAACCTGAAAGACAGGAATATCAGCCTATTGCTGATTGTTCTTATATACTGAGAGCCTAACTCATTGTCTCTTTTTGTGATCCATATAATTCCACGAATCAGGAAACCAAAACCCAGAGATGGGAGTCTAACTTACAAAATGGTCTTCAAGGATTTTGTATGAGGAGAGGATAGATCTTTTCTCTTTTCTGTAAAAACAGTGAAACAAATTCTTAAAACACACTAATAGCTGAGAATTTGACAATCAATTTATTCACAACAGTTGCACTGAGTTACCATATACCCCAAATAATTTACTTTCATTTTCATCTGTTTTAATATGTATTTTGGTTCACCGGGTCGTGTCTTTGAGAATCCAGCCCTTTTTCATTTCCTTCCCATTTCTGACGCCGGATCGTGACGCCAACTAACTTGTGCACAGTCCCACCAGGCCCAAGGATCCGATGTAGATTTTTATACAGCCCCCTGGAAGCTGGTTCGAGGGAGCCTGGGCTTTCCCTTCCTGGCCAGAGGAAGCTGCTGCATAGAGAGGCTGGGCGCCTTGTGCAGATGCGGCCGGGAGGCCTTCTCCCGCGCTCCGCATGCTGTTTCGTTTATTATTTCTCTTTATAGCCTCTGTGCTGCCAATAAAGTAGGGGTCATAAAATTAGAGTGCGGTTGCCACGTACGGTTTCCCAGATTTCCATGTTGGGAAGCCCAAAAGTTCCTGATCAGCGTCACTGAGTATTTTCAACCAGCTTAGCTCAGGGATGCGGAGATGGAGAGCATAATTTAAAAAAAGGGAGGAGGGGCGGGAAGCAGGAAAGCAAAGCGAAGCTTGCCATTTTGGAGCGAACACATGCCTTATATGGAAGAACGGTTAGTCATTTAAGGCAAATTTGCCATCTTCACTGCCCTTCTCTTGCATGAGGACCACATCCGCCACAGGCAGCCCCCGGCCCCGCAGCCCTGACCACGCGGGAAGAGCCGGTCGCCGGCGGGGCGGGGCGGTCTCCGCAGAGCGGGCGGCGCGCGCCTGCGCAGGAGGCTCGGGCTTGACTGGGCGCCGCCCGGGTCTGCTGCCGACGCTTCCCCAAGACTCAGCTAACCGGCAGGTCGTTTGATTTTTGTCTCCGCTCGCCACTCCTTTGTAAGGGACATCAGTGGCTCTCTTTGAAGAGGGAAAACGTAAGGAGGTCTCACCACAAAAACAGTCTGCAGAGAAATTTTCTTCGTTGCTATTCGAAAGCAGGGCTGTGATTTAAAAAGAAAAAGCAAGCACTTTCCTTGCTCCTGCAAATGACATTCCCCTAAACACAAAATCTAAAAAAGACATGTTTTTATTGCAGGTCCAGGAAAATAGCTAATGATATTGTTAACTGCCTTTGGATGAGGGCTACGTGTACATGATCTCGTGAGATTTTTACAGCCACCCGGTTGACGTGGGTACTGTGATAGCCCCACGCCGCACGAGAGAGGACCTGCACCCACTTGCTCAGGGTCACACAGCTGCTAATTCTAGCCTGAGTCTAGCTTGCCCCCGAGCTCACGCCCGTGACGGCCATGCAGTATTTTGTCCCCAAACCTAATGCTCCTGGCCTGGTGGCAATGGCTGCCTCCGGAGAGGAGCTCCCGCGGAGCAGTGGCTCTTAATGGGGAGGGATTTTGCGCCCCGGGGGACATCTGGCAATGTCTGGAGACATTTTTGATTGCCACAACTTGCAACTGGTCAGGGGTCTTACTAAACATCCTACGGTTTGCAGGACAGTCTCCACGACAAAGAATTATCCTGCTGAAAATGTCCGTAGTTGTCAGGATGGAGAAGCCCTGCCGTCCATGCTTCCGTTCTATGACATTTAAGTTTAATGTGGTTTATTATGTTGTGAATAGAGAGGAAACTAGAGGGTGAAACTGAGACAGCTCCCATAAATTGTCACCCATGGCAATGTCAGCCCGTGTCCTTGTGCACAAAATGCTTCTGAAACCAAACCCAACCCCACAATACTGCCTCCTTAAAACCTGAGTGAGATGTGCACATCTGCGGGCTCAGTGTTGCGGACAGTCGACAGTCGCCTTCCTGCTGTTGTCTCTCTTCTCTCCTTCTTTGTAACAGCTGCATCTGGATCTCTAGCGGATTCCCGGTGAGCCGGACATGGCCCCAGATCCCCGGGCAGAGCCTGTTGCCCTGGGCTAGGCTTGTGACCTAAGCAAAGGGAATGTCCACATATTTTCTGGGAATGGTGAGACAGCAGCTCTTCTTCTAGGTGTGGGTGACAGTGAGGTCAGAGGTCAGAAACAGCTCGGCAATTTTTTTTCTGTGTGGGGAGGCCCAGGCTGATCACAGCCCTGCAAGCCGGCTAGCACTCTGGTAACCAGGAGTCCACCTCCTGTTTCTGACCTCTATGCCTTAGCTGAAGCAGTTCCCTCTTTCTGGAACAGCTTCCCAGGGCTGATTTCTTGCCCTCTCCAATGCTCAGGCCCAATGCCCACTCCTCCATGAAGGCTTCCTTGGTTACTCTTGAATTCTTAGTCTGTTTATTGCCTGTAAGGTCTGAGATAAATGACGTATTTTCATTATCTACCCAACTAGATTATAAGCCCCTGGAAAGCAGGATTGTGTCCTATATTTCCCTGTATTCTATTGTAGGGGAGGAGGACATTTCCTCTCCCCAAATGGGGGTTCGTCTAGCTGGAGAACAAATTAAATTCACATGAGACAGAATAGCAAGAGAAAATTAAACAAAGCTTTATGAGGAACCATGGCCCGAAGGAAGAAAGGGCACCGAAGAAGTGGGGTGCACATAGTGGTTATATAGCCCCCAAACGGGGTGTTTCACATATGATTGAAAAGTCCCTCCCACAATAGTCACAAGATTGCCCTGTCGGCACAGCACTTGATGGACACAGCAGGTAATGGTCTGCGATCTCGGTGGGCGTAGCAGGAGGCAAGTCTATGTCTGGAGCTGGGCGGTCACAGGTGAGCGCAGCAGCAATTGGTTCCTAGCCTAAGGAAAGATGCTTAATCCTTAAGGAATGCCAATGTTGGGAGGGGGAGGGAAGTCAGTTACAGGAGGTTACCAGACTAGCACAATAAAATGCAGATTTTAAGTCCTTGCCTTTGGTATTGATTAAGAGTTTTTAGAGAGAAGGTCATCTCCTTTCTTCTTCCTGGTACAGAGAGGGAGGCAACTTTTACATATAGAGATTTACCTTACAAATGTAAACGTGTCCTAACAAAGGGCAAGTTCCATTCCTCAGAGCCTCCTTGCCTGTCCCAGTTTATCAAAAGCAATGAGCCTCAAATAATCCTGATGCCAAAGAGACATATCTTGGGGTGGCCAATTCCAGGTCCCCACACTATGCAGTACCTATGGATATGTGTTGTCTGAACAGAGCCACATGGGCCGTGTGACAGGGGGTCCTGCTTGGGTGACTTTGCCTTTTGGGAGAAGAGGAGACAGGGTTTGTGACGCTGCACTTCCAAGCGGCTCTCGACCAACCAAGGGAGCCACGCATTTGTAATACTCATGCTCTCAAACGGCTCTGGCCTGTTGCCTCTGGCTTCTTTTCTGCTCTTTCCTTTGTGACCATTTCTTAGCTCTCCATCCAGCTTCCCCACTTCCCAGCCAGGGAACTGCTGGCGGGTTCCTTGCTTCCCGCGCCTCCTCTCCTCACCTGAATCGGGTGTGGAGGGTAGTTAGGAGGCTCAGAGGAGCTGTTCCATGCATGGTGGGTGCTCACTGAAAGGCAGCTGTTTGAAGAGCAGCGGGCTGGGGGAGTACGGAGGAGGAAGCGGAAACAGGCAGTTTTATCAGCTCCTCATTATGCAGTTTGTCAGAGTTGGGGAATGTCTTACACACAGTCCTGCATTAAGATCCTGCTGGCCAATGTGGTGGCCGCTGGCTGCAGGTGGCTACTGAGCACTTGAAATGTGGCTGTTGCAAATTGACAGGAGCTGCCAATGTAAACCCACACTGGATTTCAAAGACTTAGTATGAAAAGAGGAATGCACGATATATTGTTAATGCGTCTTTTTACATTGACTGTATGTTGAAGTAATATTCTGGCTATATTTGGTTTAATAAAATGGATTATTAAAATTAATATCACTTTATTATTTTTCATGTGGCTATGAGAACATTTTAGATCCCACCGTGACTCCCATGGTGCTGGTCTCGGCAGAGCATCCTGTGATGTGCCTTCTGGATGGTGGGTAGAGCTTCCATCCCACACACCGTCCTTGCATTGGACTGTGATGGTTGAAACCCCACTATAGCAGCCTCATTCCTTAGAGGCCTTGTGCCCTGGGAAATTTTAAGTCTCCCTGGGGGATATTAAACTGCTGTCAGTCATTTGCACCCTAATATGAATGAGCACCAGGGTCTCTTTTTTTGGTGGAAAGCAGATTTTGGTATGAGGAAGTAGAGTTGGGGGGAGGCAGAGGGGAGCGAGGACTGTGAGAGCAATGAGTAGGTGAAAGTGGGAAAAGGGTCCCCACGACGTGAGTGAAGGGGTTGCTGAGCGGGGCGAGGGTGGAACTGGCCCACAAATGTTGCCTTCACAGCTTTGTGTCTTTATTCCTTTGTACTTCTCGGTTCTGACACAGTGGTCTGCATGTTGCAGGGGAAGCCACAGTAACTGTGTGGACTTGGTGACCAAAAATAAGATTCGATAGAAGGAGTCAGCTATATGGGACAGTTTCTCACTGGGTGTGATTTAGCCTTGAGCCTGCAAACCATCACCGGAGCAGTACCTGTCATTTCTTTATTGGGTAAAGGGTTTTCCTGAGAGTTTTCCCTCCTTCTCTATTTTCATAGCATATGGAGATGCAGTCAGAACCGTGACTACAAGGGAGGAACCGAGGCTCAGAGAAGAGGGAGTGGCTTGCTTTTGATGACAGAGAAACCAGAG